ACAAAAAGTGACTCTGGGCGGTTCACAATAAAATAGCAATAAATATTAAAATATAATAAAACAATATAAACTACAGTAAAAATAGGATAAAAACCAAACACATACACCAATCAAATGTGTTTCCAAGATTGTAATGGAGGCAGGATTGTCTACGATCTGCCTCTTTCTCAGTCCCATTTCTCTTCCTTTCCCTTTTGCAGAAGAATGCTAAGCAGAGCAAAAGTTTTACATGCCAAAGATTTCCCAGTCTCTGACCTCTTTAATTAATAAATAGCAAAGTCTTCCAAAGGGGTGCTGGATAACCTCACCCATCAGAACAAGACAGACAAATTACCTCAGTTGAGCTAAATCCACTTTTTATGTTCTCTGTCTGGGAGAAGACCCCAGAAAAAATCTAGAAAATTTTGGGTTCAAATACATATAGCAATACAAAGAATTTTAAAGATTAATATTCAGCTGAACCCCGAACTTTTCTTGCTGGGACTAATGGACAGACAACTAGAAAAGACTCGTGGAAGATTATTTTTGTACATGGCAACTGCGGTGAAATTATTATATGCACGAAGGTGGAAAGACTCTGAAATACCCACAATGGAGGAAGTGTTAAAGATGACAGAATTTTCAGAGATGGTAAAATTGTCTTCTTTGATTAGGAAAAAGGCATTAACTACATTTGTTAATGACTGGATACGCTTTATGGAGTTTTTGCTGAAAACAGAAAAAACTGAACTTGTGATTTATGGGTTTGACAATTAGAAAGAGTAGAATATGGAAAGAAGGGTCACAATATAACCTTAGAAAGAGAGGATAAAATATAAATGCATTTATAACTGCTGTAAAGAAGATCAGGAGCTGCTTCTTTATATCTTTTCTTTTTCTCTGTCTCTTTTATTTCTTTCTTATTCACATCACTTTTTTCTTTAAATTTGTACTGTTTTCATTCTGTAAAAAAGATTCTTCAAAGGAGAAGGAGAAGGAGAAGGAGAAGGAGAAGGAGAAGGAGAAGGAGAAGGAGAAGGAGAAGGAGGAGAAGAGCTGCTTGTTATAAGCCTTATTTTCACTTTTGTCAAAAAGGACAAACCCATATTTTGGAGGCCAGAGCCATTTTACCCTAGGGCTTCAGAAGCTTCGTGGTGAAAAGCTACAGCCTGTGATCGAATGGAAGTTTGTTGGTTCATTCTTCTGCCTTTCATAGAGGTTGGGCCAGAGAAACACTCACTTGGAAGATCTATTCCAAGAGGATTATTGTGAAGGCAGAAGAGAAGAGCTCCATGAATGCTCTCTGAGATCCTTAAGTGGAATCATATAATAAGAATGCAATTCATACGTTTCTACTACAGCCTGGTTTTCCTCCCACTTGAAAATAAAATACTCTTTTTGTCACTGCATTTGTTGATGTTGTTTTTCAAATTGTTCCCTCCTCTCTCTCTAAACACACTTTGCTTTATTACTCACATCTCCCATGATTCTTCATTTACTCTTACATCAGACAAAAGGTCCAAAACCAGGAGCATCCTGTCTTTTTTTTTCTTCATTTATTGTTTGTCTCAGATGTTGTTTCTGGCAATGTCCTTAATCTTGATTCCTAACAAACTCTTATTATTGCCCTTTACTGATAACTTATATATTTCTCATACAATATTCATCTTTTAAAAAAAATTTTATTCTTCAGGTAAAACTCCTGCTACCGAATTAAAGATGCTAGAAGAAAAATTCAAAATTAAATGATAGTATGGTTCTGTTCTACAGGTTGTTGTGGAAATACAACTGTTAAAGCCAACTATTTCTTACTGCATGTATGGAGCATCCTCTGTGAGGTAAACTGCTATTTTAAAATAAAGGAGCATTTGATATGAATGGATAATCTGATCTCAGAACTCCATTTATTGTGATTAACAAAGCCTTTAGTAATACCTACCAGCTACAAAGAGTGGAAGAGAGGAAGCAACTCTTTCTACCAACAAAAGATCCGCTGCTCTGGGAGGAACATCTTCTCAACAACATATAGATTGATCTAGAAAATGCAACAACATAATAGGCTTAAGAATCTAGAATCAGGCAGCACTCAAGGGATCACAGTAGACAACTAGATGATATGTGAATTGTGTCGGGAATCATTAAAAGTGCACCTTGTCTTTTTCCCACGAGAGATGAAGGAGACAAAATTTTAAGGAGATCCCCAGGTAGATCTAAAGGTTACACTCAGAGCTGAAAAATATGAAGGGTTTGTGAACAACATGATGACATTAAAGGAACTTCTGTCTATTTTCCCCATTTGCAAGTTTTTTATTATGTAAATATCTGCATCATGTACAGACGCAAATACCATAGGAAAAAATATGATTATTAGCTACAAGGGGAAGTTCAGGAGCAAAGCAGGAAATATCCTTGGCCAGCCCTGACCTTGGATAAACCAAAGTGACTCTTCTCAGATTGAAGACCTTGGAGGGAAAGTTACAGGACCACAAATGAGGGTTTTTGTTTTGTTTTTTTCTTATGTTTATATTTTTAAGGCCTTGGAAGAAGCACTGAGCTCTCAGCTTCAGTTTCCAGTTTAAGGGCTCCAGATGAAAAAGGATTAGAAAGGAGGAAAGAAGAAAGACTATCTGCCTGAGAATTTGGAAAACAACTCCTGGTCTGAGTGGGCAATATTAGATTAAGACTTGCAACCATTCACCTTCAAAATTGCCAGGTTTCCTACCTCATTGGCCTTAACTGTTCTTTTAGGTGTTTTTATATCTAAAAACAAGGAAGCAGGCAACCTGCAAAACAAAGGCCTGGATTCTTGCACCATATTTATTTGCAAGAATAGGTTAAGGGCCTTGTAAACCTGTAGGCCAATGTTTCTCAACCTCAGCAACTTTGGACTTCAACTTAGAGTGGAGTTGAAGTCCACATGTCTTAAAGTTGCTGAGACTGAGAAACACTGCAGTAGACTAATGGTGACTGGCTACAGCTTAGTGCTTTATTTGGGAATATGCCTATCTACCCTCTCAGAAAGACAAAGGTAAGCTGGGGTGATAGGAAGCAAAACTGGTAGAAAAGCAACTTCGTCACCACTAGGTAGGAAGAACTTCACCAATAAAGTTCATTTTTTGTGTAGCCACAACTATTCCTGCTGCTATTTTGTGAGCACACCCATCAAATGCTCTAGAAATTCCAAATGTGAGCAAGAACCTCAAAAACCTGAAGCTAGAAGAACAAATAATCCAATCTGCCGAAAGCGGTTTTCCTATCATCCTCACCACCACAGGCCTTGTACCTTTAAGGTCACTTACTGTCCTTAAAAAAAAAAAAAGATCTCCACCTTTCCTGTGAGGTGCTAGTTGTTATGTAGCAGTGAGCAATTCTTAAAGTCTCCTTCAGATCAAGCTCAGCTCTTGATTACTTCATGAACACCTCCATGTATTGACAACGGTACAGAAGTAATTTGCAAGTGCCTTCTTCGGAGAGGAATTTTATCTCCCCGCCTAGCCTACTACCATAGTATTTCCAGCTGATCTCCCATCCAAGTGCTAATTAGGTCCGCCCTGCTTAGATACTAAAGATGGCTAGATGCTTCCATTGGGCTGGCCAATGCTATAAGTAACGCCTGGGAAATATAGTTATCTCAAGGGCCACTGAAGTATCAATAGTCCTGCGAAAAGGTGGGGGGCATTATTTGCTGCTTGAATCTGCCTTATTCAACATGGTAGATGAGTGGGGAACAGATGTTCTTTCCTGATTTTATGAGTAGTTGGGTGATATGTGCATAGGATAAGAACTAGATTGGTTATGTTTTATTTATGAATGGTTACTCTGACTTTAGCCAAATACAGACAGAATGGCATATATCCAATTCAACCAGAAATCACCCTCATTAAAAAAGACATAAATAGCAAAGGTTCAGCCCTTATACAAATACAGTGCTAAAATTTGGATTGTTCGTGAAATGTATATTGGTTTTAATTTTTGAATCTCCCTCTGCCTAGGATATGAAATTTTCTCTTATAATTCCCTCTAATTTTTTTTAAAAAATCAGCTTTGAAAAGCAATCTTTAAAATTGTAAATTTTACAATGTATGGGTTAGAAAAAGCATCTAAAGGCATCAGAAATAACCATAAGTATCTTTTAATTTGGCATAAAGCATAATGAATGTTTGGTTTTCCCTCAGTTTCTCATGGTTTAAATCTTAATATCAATATGTACCATTCCATCTTATCTTAGGACTGTTTTTAAAAAGTTATCACTATGTTCTGTATATACCAAGTCAAATAAAACCTTTATTTTGGTCATAGGCCAGCATCAAACACCATATACTTCTGTGTATATTTCCTTGTACCCATGCATTTTTGGCCACAATTTTTGCCTAACATAACATCTTTTTGCTAGTACAACTCAACATAGTTTTTCCTTAGTATGCTACATTTTCATGCCAAATGTTTCCTATTATGTCCATTCTTGCTTTGTTTCTTGGAGATTTGGGGGGTATTTTCTTTTTCATTGAAGAACTTCCTTGTAGACTACAGAGAAGGGCAAATCTGAAGAACGCATGAGGGGCCTCACTGTATTGGTTTGATAAAGAGAAATTATATAAATTTACAATAGCCAGTAAACCAAATGTATTTCTTCTCCGCCCCTAGGGTAAGAAAGTAACTCTCCTTCTTCTGAGATAGCCCAGAATAGAGGAGGAACTGTACAACAGACAGCCTTCTTCTCTGATCACAATGAGAACATCTACATTCCACCCTGAGCTTCCCTTGTAGATGGAGAACCATGTTAGTCTGTGGTGCCAAAAAATCAGGAAGAGTCTGGTAACAGCTTTTCCGACCAGCAAATTTTATTAAAAGGCATACACTTTCATGAGCTGCAGCTCCCTTCATCAGGTGCATAAAATATCTACATTGATGTAGGATTTGAACTGGAATGAGGCAGGGTAAGGACTGGGGATGGGGAAGGGAGGGAAAGACAGGTTGGTTATGGAGATGCAGGTTACATGTGAGACAGATGACCCGTACCTTATTGTAATGTATTAAAATCCATTGTGTTGGTTGAGACCTTCTGAGACAGCCTTAAACTTTTTGATTTATGTGAGTTCAGCCATCTCTCACTCAAAGGTGTGGTTAAAGTCTTGTTTTTGCAACATGGTCACTTTAAGGTTCTGGGAGGTTGAAAGGCTTTGATATTACCTTGCCCTTGTTAGTCCTGATGTCCACCTTGTTCCATTAATTCTTTTGAGGAAGATTTGTCCTATTTGTTCTACATAGATTACAGAGGGGCGTTGCTGGCAGAGGACGACAGTCAAATGTTCCCCCTCCCCCTGCCTCATCTCCATTTAAATTCTATGTGATTCTAGCCACTCTCGCTGGCTAGATGAAGTGAAAGGCTGCTCAAAAAAGCTTACACCTTTTGATAATTCTTTAAAGTCAGTAAAGGTGGTACTAGACTCCTGATTTCTTCAGCTTTCCTTTCTTTCCAGATCTGCAAATGAATGCAAATTGACTGGAACATACTGGAAACACCATAATTTTTCCATTCTTAACCCAAGAGAATAATTGAACAGAAGACAAGATTAACTGCCAAAAGATTAAGTAGAAAAACTGAGAGATTTGGGAGCTAAATAGGGGAAGCCAAACTGGATGCTGGAAGGTGGAATGGAATCTCCACAATTTGTAACACTTCTTGCCTAGCTTCCAGGCAAATAGAAAGAAAATAACTGAGGTGGATCCCAATGACTTATCATGCAGGGGAATTACAAGAATTTTCTGTTAACACTCCCAAGATATTTCTCTTTCGTTGAGTTCACTTTAATCAAAGTGATTGGACTAAGTTTTAAAAGTTTAATGTAAGTTTCAATTACATTATTTTATAAACATTTAATCTACTTTCTCAACATCTAGAGTTGAATATATATATGTATATGTATAGGTTACCAGCAATTAGGAATGATTAGAACTTTCTTGAATGATAAGAACACGTCTAGAGTCAGGGACTTAATTTTCCTTGTCTTCCCTTGAGTTTTTCCAGAGCCATTTTGAAATCTTTGTTCCTCAGGGTGTAAATGAAAGGATTCAGGATGGGAGTGATGACAGTGTAGAGAACAGAAACTGCTTTATCCAAGGGAAAACTGTAAAAGGGACGGGCATAAATATAGATGCAAGGTCCAAAAATCAGGGTTACCACCAGGATATGAGATGCACAAGTAGAGATAGCCTTGCTCCGGCCTAGTGCAGACCCTGCCCTGAGCTTGGCCAGGAGAATGGAGTAAGACACAATTAACACCACAAAACACATCAAGGTCACCAGACCACTGTTGGACACCATGAGTAACTCCACCACAAAAGTATCAGTGCAAGCCAGTTTGACCACCTGGGGCACATCACAGTAGAAATTATCCAGTTTATTGGGGCCACAAAAGGGCAATTGTCTGATGATGGCTACTTGGACAATGGAGTGGATAAAGCCACCGATCCAGGAGGCCCACACCAGTGCCCCACACATGTTTGCATTCATGATGGCCCCATAGCGCAAGGGATGGAAGATGGCAACATAGCGGTCGTAGGCCATGATGGTAAGAAGAAAGATCTTGATACCCCCAATAAAGTGGAAGAAGAAGATCTGGGAAAGACAGCCACCATAAGTGATGGAACTGGTCCTTGATAAAAAGCCAGCCAGCATTTTGGGGGCAGTTATAGATGAATAGCAGAAATCCAAGAAGGACAGGTTGCCCAAAAGGAAATACATAGGGTTATGGAGAATAGGCTCATAAGCTACAAGGCCTGCAATCAACAGATTGCCAAGCACAGCAACACTATATACAACTAAGAAGAATGCAAAGAAGAATATCTTCAGCTCTGGATTGGTGGCCAGTCCAAGAAAGATAAATTCATTCACTGTAGTATTCTCTCCTTCCATCAGCTCCACTCAGGCCTCATTTCTGGACACTGCAGAAATTATATCAAAGCTGTGAATAATAAATGCATTCTCTTTTCCTTTCCAATATTACAGACAAAAATGTAATTACCCATTGAATACTATTTGATAGGATTGGTTCAGGTCATAACAAGTCATTTGTGTACTGCATAACGTTTATTTGTTTAGTTTATTATTAAATCTGAACCATACATTTCTGTTTGTAGAAGCACTCAGAGTGGCTTCCAAGAATTAAACAAAATAAAAAACCTAGCAATAAAATCAGTGCAATTTGTGATCAAACTAAAAAAACAACAACCTTAAATTAATATTGTTATCATTATAATTAACAACTAAAAGCAAGGTATCCGATCTTACCGTTCTCGGTTTTCCCCTTCCTCTTAACCTTTCATTTTTCCTTCATATATTTGTTTTGCAATTCAGTCTCATTCATTCTTTTTAAATGAAAAATGTATTTGTTTCTCCTTCATTCATTTCATTGGTTAATTCATGCTCTTTATTCTTCTTATATTCCAAGAAGTAATTATCCATCTGCTCTGGCCATCACTAGAGAAACCTATAGCTATTGACCCTTGTTGCCCATCATGGGTTTGGTCAATCAAGACTTTCACACAACACCTTTAAACAGTATAGAAAAGGTATAGACTGGGTTGAATCCATGCTACATGCAACACTTCCTACTAACAATAAAGTCAGTCTGGACACATTTTGGCCAGCATGCCAAAAGGGTAATCAAAGCTGAATTTTACCCAAGTATGCTCACACTGCTTTAGGCAAGCCAGCATTTCTAATACAGAGACTTCCTCACAAGCCAATATATTTTTGCCCTCAACCCACCATTTAGAAAGTACATGTAATATACTGACATTCTCTGGAAGGTACTTTGTAATCCAGTTAGCAAAATCAGAGATTCAGTTGGGTTGCAGACCAAACTGAATGTTCTTACACGCATACATAAATGCGTTCATCCTCAGCATCATATCCTATTTTAGTGCAGTGAAAGGCTTGAATGTTATCTAAGCAATATTAACAGTGCAGGTTAATGTTCCTACCACTCACGCTCTTAAGTTTAATGTACCTTTTAAGGTAGTTCAGTGAATAAAAGGTTGGGACAATATTATATGCATCCTAGTTCCATCACTGAAGAGCATAATTTTTTTTAAAAAATGCAATTTAAATAGGGTGCTATATGGCTTTGAATGGAATTCACCTGGTAACCCAGTTGGAATGTCCCTTCAGAACAACTTTCTTGTACATCCAACCAGATTTCCTTGTATACCTAAGAGTAGAAGTGGATTGAGACATAGGGAAGAACATGGGGCAGACTGAAGAGTAATTACAGGAGGGTGGGAAGAATCTTCTGAGAAGTTTAGGAACACCTAAGTACTATCATTACATTTTCACTGCCAGACCTGGTCCAAAGCCATGTTTTACCTTGGCCTCTATTATTTTTGAAATAGAGATGTAAATGGTGACAGAAGATAGATAGATAGATAGATAGATAGATAGATAGATAGATAGATAGATAGATAGATAGATAGATAGATAGAGATTTGCTGTACAGCATTTCAGGTCTGATCTCCAAAAAGTACTTCCAAGTACATGGGAGTGCAAACATGGTACCTGTCTTCAACCCTGTTAAACAGCCACTGAATGACCCCAGGAAAAGATACAGCTGATATAAAGCATACAGGCAAGGGCTATGTTCATGTTCCCACATGCTCCCAAGCCCCTTATAGAACGTGAATCTGAAGTGCTGCGCAGCCTGAATATATTGCTCAATAGAGTTTAACCAGTGTTTTCAGTTTCTTTGTTGTATCTGACTCAAGAACATATCAGGTTTCCCTGCAAAGAAGTCCATTTTTTTACATCAAGGAAGCCTACCTTCAGTCTCCAACTGATGCAACAAAATAGTTTAATTTGCAAAGGAAGAATGTGTATTTCAGTCGTCTTAGGAGCTATGGCATGATAACTGGTACACCTACTGGAGGATTTTAAAATTTAAGGAGCACATGGCAGGATCCACATGTATTCCAGCTTTCTTTGCAAAGCCAACTAAAAGACTGTGATCTCAACTTTTTGTAACCATTTGCCTTCACAGTCTTAGTAGATTTCAGTCTAATTTGCATTGCCAAACACAGGAGTATCAAGCAGTTATGTCTCATAATCCCCCCATACCATCTTTGGTCTTCAACTGTCTTCTGTCTTGGTCTTGGTTTTCTGAGGTGTTCACAGTGCTGGAAATACACTAATCCAAGCAGAGCAGGTAAAGCAGAATGAATCAAAGATATAATTAAGGGCTGATAATATGGAAACCCAAAGCTTTGTTGCAAAGGGAGTTCTTCATGCAGGAAAGTGTACTGCTGATTTTTAACAGTGACATGGAGAAAAATAAATTCAGAAATTCTCAAGAGGATGAAGAAGGAGGAGAGTCAATGTCCTCCAACAGAACTGCAGAGGAGATGAGAAGATGGAATGATTTGAAAAACAGGAAGATGACATTTCTGTGTTGAACATTTTCATCAGTTCCAAATTTGTTCAACTGTTTGTTTTCCAAACACCAAGCCACAATCTTTAAAAAAAGAAGTTCATTTAAATGCTAATCTTCCCCATTCTTTGATAGAGGCCTAGGTATTATCCAAGATATTTTGCTGTCTGTCAAAACAACAGAATATTCTTGATTTTGATTATATTCCTTGACGGGGGAAACCTCCAGCTGCTGAAATTCTCTGCAGCTATTCAATTGCAGCATGAATAATTCACTTCTAAAATAGGGAATCCCAGCAAAAGTGTGAAGATATGGATATTTGTCTTAGTTCCTCTAGTTATATGTTTGCAGTAGTGTGCAACATGTATTTTAATGCTTACATTTCTTTCTTTTTTTTTTATGCTTTGTAACACAATTTCCAGCAGACAAATTTTCAGCATAAAATCATTTAGTTCAATCCCACATCGCAGGCAGGGCCTCCACAAGCAGGTATGCAAGCTGTGCACTTAAATATGGGTGTAGTTTGCTTATGAAGTAGCTCTGTGATGCTGGAGTCAATTTCTTTGTCCAAAGACCCATCACTCAAGATGATGCTTCCCAAGTATTTGAAGCTGTTTACTTTTGTCAGCCAGGTGTCATCAATAGTGAAGGCACATCAAACGACTGGAGAAATTTCACATGCCAGCTCTCTGCTCCATCCTTGGCATTCATTGGCAAGACCACATCTCCAACTTGGTGGTCTTGGATTGCACCGAGTCCCCCAGCATTGAGTCCCTGATTATCAGAGCCCAGATGGGATGGGTGGGACATGTCATCAGAATGGATGACCATGCCCTGTACATCCAACCAGATTTCCTTGTTCCTGGCCTTGCCAGTTACTCTATAGCATATGGGATCTTGATGGAGCCACACAAACTTCAAAGAAGCTGTGAAAGAAACCCTATGCCACTGTGACATCCAGCCAAGAGAACTAAAAGCTGCGGCTGCTGACAGAACCCGCTGGTGAGCCCTGCACTATGAAGCCTCTGCCAGCTTTGAAGACAGGCGCTGCCAAAAACCGTGGGTAGTGTCACAGAATAATACCCACAGTTACTACAACAATGGACTTCCATTGCCCCCATTGTGCTAGACTCTGTGCTTCCAGACTGGGACTGCACCTCCGTATTCACAGATGAACTGCACAACAGCAGGTCTTCTTCAAACCTGAAGGACTACCGTATATTTTAGCTCCTGGTAATTACAGCCAGTGTGATCAGTGGTAAGGAACACTAAGTACTGAAGCTCTGACATGTTAAGAATAATATAGAAGTTCCCTATCCTTATTGTAAAGGGTGGTGTATACAAGCAAAAAAAAAAAAAAAGAACACCTCAAAAATTAAAACAATGTAAGAAAAATATAAATCATCTTTATCATCATTGTCATCGTGTTTATTATGTTCTGAAGGTTTTAGGAGCCTTCCTAAATGCGAGGAGGATAGGACCCAATTGCACATCTGGGTAGCCTATTGCACAAGGTGGAGCCACCGCTGAGAATGTTTGCTTTCTAGCCCAAGCTCCCTTCACTTTCTTTGGGTGTAAGATCTTTAATAGATCCTCTCAATATTCAGCTCAGTAAGTGGAATCATGTCCGGGAAGGCTGTTCCTTAAACTTAGTAATTCATCAACATACATTTCTGGATAAACAATGTCTCACAAGATAAATTATCAGTAGCCAATTTCATATTTAGGCCAAATTGCTTTCAATATTCTAAGCCCATTCTAACAACATCAACTGGTGGAAAAAAAGTAAAATCGAAGTCTCCCTGGGTTTGAGCTTGACTCCTGGTGATTTCATGGACATGTCAATGTAGTTTTCTTGGCAACAGTATAGAAGAAATTTACTTTTACTTTCTTGCAGGATTTTATTTTTTAAATTTCTCAGTCTAGTCTATAGTTTGGGATCCCTAGACTGGGATTTCATAGCTATCTCCTATCTGACTAGGAAACAGGTTCAACACTCATTAGCAACATTTTTGGAAGTGGTTTGGCATTTCCTTCTTCCTAGGGATGAGAAGGTGTGACTGGCCCAAAGTCACCCAGATGGCTTTCTGTCTAACACAGGACTAGAACTCATAGTCTCCTGGCTTCTACTCCAGTGCCTTTAACCATTACACCAGACTGGTTAAAAGTAGAGGTCAGATCAAGAGTTGTTCCAGCAGCTTGCACTCCACTCTCAACTCCCCAACGACAGGGCCAGGACAAAAATGGACACAATAATTGTGGAAATGGGATGACCTACATGTAAGATTGGAACAACTGGAAAACTGAGAGCAAGAAATGGACAGAT